TGGGTAAATCGTCACGTACGCTGACGGTTTATGGTCTGGTTGTTATGGTTTTTGTGACGTTCAGCGTGTAGGGACGCACGTGCGCCTAGAATGTCGATGCCAGAGTTATAACCTTTGATGTCCCGAGATGTGCGTCCTTTTGTTGAATTACCTTGATACAACAATGCCGTAGGGGTCAGCAATTTTTTTGTTTTCTAGACGCCCGAAAATAACCTCAATCAATTATTTCTTTTTCCTTCCTTATTATGGTTTTGGCAGACTAATCTAAAAGTCTTCCCTACAATAAATGCATTAATTATAATATAGCCTATAGCAATTTAATGCAGTTGTTTTTAATATGATGATATGATGATACTGTTACATATACATCAAAATATTACACAAGATAGAATGATGGTTTTTTTTTGTATACAGTGCTCTATATTACTGAATTAGTAGGACGGTGTTGTTAGGATTATTGTAATGGTGATTTGGGTAGAACGAGCGCAGGACTTGACGTGTGACTACACAAAAATATTATTAAGAATCAATAACAGCATACAGTATTGTACATCCATTTCTAAAAAATACTTGGAATAAAACAATCTTACATTTACAATTCTTAATTTCCCTCTATACACAGAAATTTAAAGACCACTTTTATTGCCAGGTCTTTAATTAGAGGGATTCTAAGTAGTGACTAAGGCTACCAAAGGTCCCGAAAGTGGTCTTTAATTGGAGGGAGACATGCTTATACTGTTATATAAATAAATGATTTCCTTGTTCACTTTTCAACATTTTAATGTTCACATGAATTTTAAACCAGCTGATACAACGAGAACCTGTTATTGAGTTTGTATTTTTGCATTCATGTACGAACCTCCATTGTAGCGAAAGTAACAACAAAATATAGACACCAAGACACCCGTGAGGAAACCTGTAATTACACACACGCAAAATTGCCAGATCCAAACTAAAAGTGAAAAGAAAACATAGTTTTGTTTTTATTATATTAGTACTATTTATAGCTTGGATAGGTACGGAAACTATTTTTACTTTGGACTCTATGTTGTATTTTTATAAGTAATTCTAAACTTGTATTTGTTATCCTATCTTCTGTACCATAATCATTATCATCGTGATCATCAACATAATCAATATCGTCATCGTTGTTGTCATTATCACAAACACCACGATGATGATAATGATTATGATCTTCATCATTATCATTATCACCATCACCATCGTAATTGAGTAAGGGACTGAAATTTCCGGCAATGGTAGTTTGCTCGAATTGTCTCGTCTTTCGGATGAGATGTTAAACCATTGGTTCCTTGTGTGCATAATAGACATTTATACAAAAAGAACTCATTATTAAAATGAGTAGATGCTTATTTACAACGGTAGGCGCGCGTGAAATGTCTTTGTTAATTTCAACTAGGACCATTACATTTACAATTGCATTACATTTTATCGTCATTGTATCTTTATCGTAATCCTCGTTTTTATCACAATTGTATAAAACCTGGTTTCTATAAAATCGTTGCCTGTGTAGCTCTCGGGAAGGCCCTCCGTGTCCGACCGAACAAATCGCCGAAACGTTGGCGATCTATAGTCTGTAACGATTTTATGGATGCTAGGCTTACGGCGCTACAAAAATAAATTGCAATATCATTAAGACTTATTATTTATAATTTATTAAGTACTGGTATAAATTAAACCTACCCTTTCGTCTGACTTCGACATGAGTACCCTCAGATTCGATAAAATCTACTTGATTAACAGCAATGCACTGATACATTCCAGCATCATTTTCTGATATATTGCTAATCCTTAAAACTGAGTGACGTCCATATTGTATGGCGTTTGATGCATTTTTATCAAGCGGAACACCGTCCTTTACCCAGCGTATTACAGGGTCTGGGTACCCTTCGCTGCCGCAGTACAACTCCATTAGTTTTCCTACATGTTGGTAGATATATTTTGGTGGTTGATTTGTAAGTATAGGTTTTTTAGCTTCTGAAAGAAAGAATTGCAAAACAAAAAAGTGAGAGACAGTCAACTGCCAAAGAAAAAAAAAGTTTTTGAAGGTTTGATGTGGGTTAAAAAAGAAATCACAGATCTAAAGTTGGGGTGGTGAATTATGACGCTGCTGCATTTGTCAATGCGGACATACCAAGAATGAGAAACTTAAAGATAAAGGATATCGACGCCAAATAAATAATATATTATGATGATGATGATGATGAGTATGATGATTATGACGATAATAATAATAATAATAATAATAATAATAATAATAATAATAATAATAATAATAATAATAATAATAATAATAATAATAATGTAAATGATGATGATAAGAACGATGAGGACGATGATGGTGATAATGGTGGGATAATGACGATGTATGTTTTAACAGACCTAACATTGGCATACCTCAGACCCTGAATAATAACTTTCCTAACAAATGAGTCGTTGTTATAATTAGTTTCTTTATTTAATTTACACTGTCCCCCAGGCGTACCCGAAATAGAGGTCTTTTAATAGCCTGGTTGTAAAACTGCTGAAATGAACTTTAGCGGGAAAAAAGTAAAGGAAAATTAATTTTTGGTTTTTCTGAATCAGCATACCCTATAGTGTCTCAGAAAAAAATCCCCTAGGGCTTGGGCAATTTTTTTTACGAGATGTCTTGATATGCAATACTCTATTTACTGGTCAGGTCATCAGAAATTTACCACTCGTTTTATGATAAAGACAAAACCATTATTTTTAAAGATAACACAAATTACTCTTATTCAGTTATCACAATCAATAGTAACGACCTGATAAAGACTTCTTTTAAATATGGTAAAAAACTAGTAACATTATTTGCCCAGTTCGGAAATTATCATGTATTAGCGAACAACGCGATGTGTCAGAGAGATATCAGTATCGTTTACAGTTTCAACAAGTAGATGTTATGACAGACGTGGACAATTGTCTGTTCACTTTAAACGTTCAATATTATCATCATTATAGTTATCATTATTACAATCATATCATTATTACAGTATCATTGTCATTATCGTTATAAAACACTGAAAACGTAGTACTTTAAATGTAGGAGAATATTTAATGAGAATAATAATATTTATCATTATCATAAGTTAGTTAAGTTAGCTGTTTCTTTTTTATTTTAACCTGTCAGTGGCGGTTGTTATCGCTGTTGGTTAGTACGAAATAAAATAAAAATAAAATAAGGTTGATGTAAAATATAACCCACTCTCACCATTTACAGATACACGAATGCTGCTATAGCCAGGTGTACGTGTATAATCTCTATCTTCTGTGTTTGCTACGCACGTGTATGTGTTTTCGTCACTACTGGTTGCGTTTGTGATATTGAAGGCTACCGCGCACTCGTCGGCATTGTAAGCACTTTGATTGTAGGCGAAGTACGTCCGTGGCGTGCGATCTGGAGCTTGTTCATCTTCGTAACATTGTCGTCCCATTGTGCCATTACACCACCACATACGGATAACATAATGAGGTTTCTTTTTATAAGAAATGTAATTAATTATAAGGGTTGAGTAAATTGTTGAAAATTAGGAAAAGCTGAAGCTGACATTAATCTTCTCAACAATTGTAAAATCTTCAATAATAATAATAATAATAATAATAATAATAATAATAATAATAATAATAATAATAATAATAATAACAATAACAATAATAATAATAATAATAATAATAATAGGCCTAATGTTGAACAAATAATAGGTCATGTAATAATCTCAATATACCGTAATGTACCGTATTATTTAATATACAAATGAAATATATCATATATCAGTAATATTTACTAGTACGGTACTACCAACTTTATAATATTCGCCAGCATTGACAGTTGCATCACAACTTTCCTGTCATCATTACAATCATCACTATCAATCATCGTCGTCGTCTTCTTGACTTCGTTAACATCGTCGTTGTTAACTTCCTAATGTATCATCCTCATCATCAGGAAAAAACATCATCAAAAACAATATCATTATCATAATGTTTATTATCACTCTTTCAGTATCCATCACTACCATCGTGATCGTCATCGGCATCGTCGTCGTCATCATCATCATCATCACCACCACCACCACCATCCTAGATGTTAGTAATGTCTCACCGGTCCAAGAATTTTTGAGACTCGACATTCAAAAAACGCATTTTCTCCCTTGACCAGTTGTATTTCGTCCTTATGCCTATTTATCGTTGGACACAGTGCTTTTTTCTGTTTAGTTGATGGACACAAGGTTGGTAAGTTTTGATTTTCTGTTGAATAAACTTGATAAATGGACAAACGTTTGAGATCAAGAAACATTTTACTTTCAAACTGCTTTTCAGAAATAAAGGTATACACAATAATACGATGAGGACTGTTCACAAACGGATGAGACAATGATTGGAAAATCAAAAATTGAGCTAATCAATAGATTACATTTTAAGCGTTAATTTGTCTTTAAATGGCTTTACTATAGATTTTGAGTGAAAATTTTAAGTGAAACCTAATTTTGAGAAGATTAGCTTAAAAGTTTAAATAATAAATAATAGCCTGGCGCAAACCCATAGGCCAAGTTACTTTGTAAGCGAGAGTGGTGTCTCAAAAGATTTAAACATCTTAACCGCCATCTTAGCTGCCACAATATTTATTTTGTCTTTTCACAATCCTGTGAATTTTTACACCGGTAGGCTGAATTAAAACGCATCAAATGCAATTGTTGAAAAAAACAACTAGCAGCTTCCACTCTTCTGAAATTTGAGCTGCGTGCGGATGCACACGTACCGTACGTCCCGGCTAGCTCGAGAACTTTCGCTCACTTGCGTAATAAAAATGTCAATTAATTATGTGCACCAAGCTGTAGTGTGCGCATGTGTAACTGGTCGTAGGACAGGGATCGCTAAAAGGACAAACGACAAGTTGCGAGGTGCAAAAGTCAAGTGGTTAAATAGCCATGTAGTGAATCAGTTTGAAAGCAACTTTGCATGTGCCGCCACTAAACTTTCGTGGTTTGTCTTTTTGGCGTTATATATTAATATTATAATACGCAACAACAGGGAACAATTAAAAATTTAACCGTTCCCTGGAAACACTCAAGTATCATATTACTATTTTTTTTACCTGATTCGACTCTATTATGTAGATCCACTTGTATTCTTATATCCGATTTGAATTCGTCCATTGTTGAAACGCTAACCAGATAAACCAGTAAAATCATCAACCTAATCTTCATGAACGATGTCATTTTATATAGAAATCTATTTGAACCAAGAAAATGGATAATGTATTTGTCAAAAAAAATTAGCAAGCTTTTTAATGACAATAATAAATTGTCCACACCTTGTGTTACTGACTCGATTAAAAATACAGCAATGGCTAGTTAGTTTATGGTTTAATTCATTAAAATATATAAGCTTTTTTAGACTGCATTACACACTTCGCTAAACACGCAAAAAAAACAAAAAAAAAACATACAATGGCAAAGTATATAGGGAATTTTTGTTGGGATTTCCAAAAACCTAACTTAAGGATCAGGAATTTTATTTGACAAAAATGCAAAATTTCCTTTGTAGTGGCCTACAAGGAAATTGCAATTGCACCTGTTGACACGTTCTCTCACTGGAATTTCTTCTGTTTCTTGTTGTGATTAGTGGCAAGTCAAATTGAATAAATGAAACAAGGGGCGACTGGGATTAATAGTTACCGGTCAATACAAATAAAAATATAACTAAACGAGGGGCGCTGGGGCCTGCGGAGGAGTGCTCGAATTTCGACATATCGGGTACGCCTTACAGGTTATGTAAAACGGTACCACGTCTGAGCAGTTCAAACGCAAATTTATATGGAAGCAGTTCAATATTATCTCGTTTTGTTCAATGTTTAATTATTTCAATTATAGTTCATTCTAAAAAGGGAGATAAGGCCTACCCCCAGAGTCACTTAAGTCCGTGAACGATTGAAGGTCAGGCTAATCTTGCGCTGTAGGCCTAAGTATAAGTAATACCAGTAATATAACAACTCCCTGGTAATACTTAAGATCTCATTGGTCAAGATGGACACATTTGAAGCTCAGTAGATTGTGGGAAACATTTTTACCATAAGTAAATTAACTAAATAGAAGGATACATCATTATACATCATCATTATAGGTTCGTATTCTTTTTTTCTCTCTCTTTGCACTTGGGCTGCGGGTGGACAATATTTTACCACGCGCTTTAAGTATTTCGCTATTACCATCAGGTTAAAGGTCGGACGAATCAAAGTCTAATTGAAGTGGTGAGGTAAGCACATAATATGCCGTCAAAGTTAAATAACACAATAGGTCATGCGTCAATGTCTAGGCCTATCTACAGTATATTTGCTTGTTAAAGGCAACGGATACTCCGATTAAATTAAGTCATTCCTGGTCAGTGACCTATTTGATTCAGTGAAATACTAAAAACATAGACTAAAAAAAAACCATCTATCACTATCCAGTAACAGACAAGAAAATAGAAAGAAATTGTTTTCTATTGTGTAGATAGTCTGTAGAAAGTGAAAGGGACAGTTGGCCCTTTATGGGTTTGGCCAATATGCAGAAGAGAACCAACCATTTTTTATCATGTAAATTGTGGTTGAATAAATAAATAAACGAAGTGAAATGAAAATGAAATGCCAAGTATGACTCAGAGTATCGCTTGGGTCTATTTAGATTTCCTTGATGTCAACTAACCGTATTATAAAATAATTGAAAAACAAAATACCGCACTTTTGCCGTTCTGGGTCCAACACCGAACTTAAAAATTGGACAAATTTATCCTATCTTGACGCGCTTAACTAAAATATGAATACAATGAAAATACTGACATCATTCTATTGTACTATACAAAAGGAATGAAATTCAAACGTATGACAGACAAAATAACATAGGCCTACGTGCCAATATTATTTTGATACCGACTGTTTGAAAGATTTACTGATCGTGTTTCATGACTGGGTATAGGATCTGTGAATTTAGGTACTGTATATTCTATCGCAACAGCATTGTTTGTTAATATGTACTGGGCTTCAAAAGCTGTCGTTTACACAGGCTAACGGAAGTAAAATGTCGTCTACAGAATCAGCCGACAAAGACAATGATACGTACAGATAATAGCTCGCTTTACTCCTCACCTGTGCCGGGTTTTTTTTCAGGCTTTGGCCCTATGTTAAAAATCTCTTTAATTAACCATTACAGTATGTGAAATGCTAATTTCAAAAGTAGGCTACATCACAATGATGTTATTTCAGTTGTACCATTTGTGGAAAACGAATAGGTCTACTGAACAAAAATGGAAGACATGTTACTTACCGTTCATCTAGTCATTCTACGAATGAATGGCGCCGCCTAAGAAAAAGGGGATTCCCCTTCTTTTTTCGTATCTGTAATGTCCGTATTTGTGCATTAGTTTCTTTTCAAATAACTAAGGAATTTTCATTGCAACATAAGTGTATAGCCTCGTTAAAGATTTCCAAATGACTCTTTGTTTAAAAAATATTAGGCCTACATCACTTACGAGCGTATAAGCCAGTTGTATGAAAGATAGGGCCTCTTGAGGTTTACATTTGCGGTTAGCATACTATATTTTCAGGTCTGTAAGTCTTAGTCAGGAGTGGCGCCCCTGTTGCCATTCTGATCGGATTTTCTCTACCGTTTTAAATTTATATTGTTTTGCATTATGTGGCCGTTTGCTGTTTTAATGGGTTTTTCCAATTTGCCTATTTAAATTTATATCATTATTAAAGAATCTCTATTGAGATCCAGCGGGCCGCCATTGATGCACGGTAGAGATTCCATCTTTAGATCTCCGATCTTGTTCACAAATTCACGGACTAGTGCTGTCTGTATGAACTTCGTAGGACGCGTTAAGAATAAACAAATACTCTCTGTATCTAGAACCGAGACGCATAACTTGTGTTCCACTATTTGCATTCACACCTGGGCTGTGTGGGT